AGCTGATACTTGGTGGGCTTAATCTTCAGATTGGCCTCTCTCAGCCTCTCGAGTACAGCTTTCAGTTTCTGCAGGTGCAGATATCATCCAGGTAGACCAAGCAGGAGGTCCCTTGTAAATCTGCTAATATGATATCCATCAGTGTCTGAAATGTACCAGAAGCACTGTACAACCCAAAGGGCATAATGTTAAACTCAAAAAGCCCCTTCTTGGTGTAGAAGGCTCTGTCTTCTGGGTGTACTTTCACCTGCCAGTACCAACTAGCTAAGTCAAAGGTGAAGAACAATCGGGCTCTGGCCAGGAGGTTCAGTGCATCATCCATTTGAGGTAGAAGAAGGTGGGCATCCTTAACAGTAATGTCATTCAGTTTGCAGTAATCCACACAAACCTGCATGTTGCCACCTTTCTTCCTCACAAGCACCACAGGGGCAGCTCATGGGCTGGCAGAGGGCCTGATAATGCCCCTTTCCTTCATCTTTTGTAGTTGCTGGTCAAATTCTCACTGGAAATAAATGGGTACCCTTCAGGGCCCCTGTTTGATGGGTCTGGCATTGCCTATGTCAATCCAGTGCTTTGTTAAACCTGTCCAGCCTAGATCATGGTCCCCCAGGCTGAATACGCTGGTGTACTCCAGTAGCACCTCTTGCATTACCTGCCTCTACTTGTTCTGGTTCTAGGCCATGATGGCCTAGCTTAAACTCACATGTCTATCATCCTGCAGTCCACTGGAGGTTCTCATCCGGCTCCCCACAGTGATAGTTTTTGTCCACACTCAGTGCTCATATAGCAGCTGACTCCTGAGTCGCAGGGTCTCCTTGCAGGACAGCTATGCCAGTTTCGAATGTCCCAATTACAGTACCTTGATATGCAACCTGAGGCTCTGCTGACATATTGGCTATGCGTACTGGAATTTTACCCCAGTGGCTCTTAACCATTGCAGTTCCCACTAGGAACCCCAATTCCTTGTTAGGCTTCAGTTCAAACAAACCCTCCTCATCCTTTTGGCACCATCTCTTCAATCTGCCCATGATCATCATTTCACTTCTAGGAGGTACTATCTGACTCTCCTCCACTACCACTTCACACACTTCAGTTTGACTGTCTGTAATGTACAGGGGAAAACACTGGCCCAGCAAGGAAAAGGAACAGTCAGCAAAGTTTATGGTGACTTGGAATTGTTCTAGCAAGTCAATTCCCAACAAGGCATCTTTCAATACAAGGAATGTGAATGGTAGTTGCAGGTCTTGGAAGTAGATGGTTGTACCCCACTCCCCCAGTATTGGGAGCGTTTCCCCATTAGCTGCTTTGACTACTAGACTACAGGGTTGTAGGCCACTTTGTATCCCGGTTGTAGCTTGTGCCCATACTTGGTGATATACAAGGGATACCTGGGCACCTGAATCTAGGAGAAATTGGCAAGGGACCTTCCTAGCTTTCCTTCCAGGTAATACCCCAAACCAGAAGACTTAAGGAGTACTAGATCCTCTTGTGGGTATCGGGTTGTATCAGCAGTGGATGGGCCCTTCTCCACTGCCTGCCTTAGTTTCCCTGCCTGGGACACCACCTTCTCTCTGGGCAGTCCCTCCAGAAATGGTCACGGTCACCACAGTGCCAGCACCCACCAGCAGTCTCTTGTTGTAACTCCAGTTGCTGTGGTCTAGGTGGGCCCCCACTGCCACATCTGTTTGGGCCCTGACTTTCCAGAGCTCGGTGGAGTTTGTCCATTGCACCCTTAAGGTTCTGCATAGTCTCCATTATTGCTTGCAGGACTGACAGTTCTGGGGTCAGGGTGTTCACTGCTGGCTCATCTTCTCTAGTATGTATTTGTACTCTGGGCTTATTGCCTTTGGGACTCAGGCCCTGCATCCTCTCTGCCAGCTCCAAGTTAGTGGCAAAGTGTATGGTTGCCTCCAGGCTCTGGGGTCTTCCTAGCCAAAACTGAGCCTTTGCCTCCCCCACTGCAGGCATGTTGGATGAAATGGTCTCGGGCCAGTGTGTCATGTATGTCTGAGCTAAATTGCAGGAAGGCCTTTATGGCTAATTGTCTGAGAGCTAGGCCAAAGTCCTGGGCCAACTCACTGGGTCACCTTACTTGCTCTTCCCTACACCTAAAGCCTTCTCTCTGGGGCCTGGGACCCCACTGGGTCCCTAGGAACCTCCTTCATCCCCATAGTTCCTACTCTAGACCTACAGAAGTTCCTGGGAGCAGCAGGTCTCAGGCGGATGATGTTACCTCAGCAGCATCCCTACACCAACGGCTGGCTCAGCACCTCCGGGCCTCCTCAGCCCAGCTCCAATCAAGTGGCCTGTCTTGTGACTGCCTGATTGGTTCTGCAGTCACCTGCAGACTGCCTCACAGCCTGCTCAAGCCCTTAAAGTGGCAAGCACCCACCTTCACCCTTAAAATCCTTCCAAGAAGGGGTGTCTTTCTCCCACTCCCCTTTCAGGCCCTCTACAGCCTGCACCAGTCCTCAAAGTGGCAAGCACCCACAGGTGCACCACCACACTCATGCATTAGTGTCCCTGTGCTTCAAAATGGTGGCGGGGCACTGTAACTAAAGTTTATTCAACGAGCTTTAGATAAAGTACCCCAGCCACCATTTTGAAGTGTGGGGACACTGATACACAAGATACTTCAGGTGCTGTAAATTAGAACAGCTCTTGGAGCCTCTCTAATTAAAGCACCCCACCCCCACCCTTGGAGCACATGTAAAAATGCCCTGAGCCATTGATTGCTACCTGTGGAGCCTAATGATCCAGCCAGCTTTCTATTCACCTTATAGTCCATTCATCTAACCCATACTTCCCCAGCTTGCTTACAAGAATGCCATGGGAGACTATATCAAAAGCCTTGCTAAAGTCAAGGTATATTATGTCCACTGCTTTCCCTGCATCCACAGAGTCAATTATCTTATCAAAGGAAATCAGGTCAGTAAGGCATGACTTGTCCTTGGTGAATCCATGCTGAATGTTCCTAATCACCCTCTTCCCCTCCAAGTGCTTAGAAATGGATTTCATGAGGACCTGCTCTATGATTTTTCCAGGGACTGAGGTGAGCCTGACTGGCCTGTAATTTCCCAAATCTTGCTTTCTCACTTACTTAAAAGTGGGCACTATATTTGCTCTGTTTCAATCAACTGGGACCTCCCCTGATCCTCAGAGTTAATGGCCAGATGTCAGGGTGATTGAAGCCCCCCATGAGAACCAGGGCCTGTGATCAGGAAACTTCCACTAGCTGTTTGAAGAAAACCTCTCCTGGTCTGGTGGTCTGTAGCAGACACCCACCACAACATCACCCTTGTTGTTCTCTCCTCTGAACCTAACCCAGAGACTTCCAATAGGTCTCTCTCCAGTCTCATACTGGAGCTCTGAGCAATCATACAGCTCTTTTACATAAAGTACAACTCCTCTTCTCCCCTGTCTGTCTTTCCTGAACAGTCTGTACTTATCTATGATAGTGCTTCAGTAATGCAAGCTATCCCACCAAGTCTTTGTTATTCCAGTCACATCATAGTTCTGTAACTCTGTGATGACTTCCAATTCATCCTGCTTGTTTCCCAGGCTCCATGCATCTGTGTACATCTAGTTATCTCAGGTTTCTACCTGAGATAACTAGATAACCATGCATCTAGTACCTGAGATAACTGGATAACCATGCATGAGATAACCATGCATCTAGTTATCTCAGGTGTCTACCTGAGATAACTAGTTGATTGCCTTACTTTCTTAGGAAGAATGAGGCCTCCCCTGTTGCACCCTTCTGCCTGTACCTCCTTTAGGTAATCTATTTCCCCACTTACCTCAGGGCTTTGGTCTCCATCCCCTGGCAAACCTAATTTAAAGCCCTCCACACTAGGTTCTTATCTTTCCTATAAAAGGATCTACTTCTTGTAATTAAATAGTGAAAGAAGGTTCACTGTCTAGGAAGCCATAACTGTGTTTGGGGCTAAATAAGCTCCAATGGCCAAAGGCTGGGTGTTTTCTTAGGTATTTTTAATGGGCATGAATGAATGGAGTATGTGTATGAAATATGCTCTTCTCACCCCTCAGTCCTATTTCGTTAATGTACATATTCTGTGCTGTGTCTGGCCCCCCAAAATAGCTTTGTTTTTTCCTTCCACAGGTTTCCTGTAACTGTCTTCCTGGCTACACCGGAGATGGTCAAAAACAATGTGATGCCATCAATCTTTGCAAGGAGGTTTGTCAGTACTTTGCTGTTACTAAAGGCAAAGAGCTCTTACTCATACTTCCCATTAAAAGGAAATTATTCAAAATTATCCATAAACCAGTAGTTGAGAATGAACTAACTTACCTTTCATTAATGCCCTGTTGAATTATATTGATATTCATGCTAGAAAATTGCTTGCCCAGTGGAATTAATTGGTGTACAAAGATCAGGTTGTCTCTCAGTCCTAGAAGTGGACTCTGAGTCTCCGCATAGGTGGAGAAATTCACCACTTCCATATTCAACTGCCACATTTGCTCAAATACAAGATGAGGTCCTTCCCCTGTCAACTGGCACGGTGAAAAAAACCCCTCTTCTTATAATGACATACAAGGAAACCTCATCATATATATTGTCTAGCATTAAACTGCTCCCAAAAGCAGCATGTGCTCAGCAATGGAAACCAACTATGAAGTTAATTAAATGCAGCCAACACAGAGCATAAGTATAAAACACGTGGCCCTTTTTTAATTGAAAACACATTTATCATTCTACACATACAAAACTTCACATGTTAAACATCATTTTAACAGAACTTCATATAACAAAATAACAAATGATAAACCTACATATGTTAAAAACCTTAACAACCTATATCTACTTCCCACCTAAACCCCTAAAAAAACTTTACTTCTTCATAAGGAACCCCATAGCTATCATTTAAGTTCCCTCTACAAAATCTGTTAAGTTCTAAAAACTCCTGTAACACCTTTGCGACTCCTCTCTTTTAGTTCAGTGAAATAAATGTGACCATTCTTTTTTCCTCCATTTCTTTCTGCTACCTCTTCTCCAATTTCTTCTTGGTCCCAGTCAATGTAGTTTCAGTTCATACAGTCCCAACTCCAGGCACTCTCAGTGAAAGCCAACCCCTTAAACACCCAGAGGTTTCTTACTTTCCATATATTGGTTTTAACACATGCTAACAGTGTTCTCAATATTGTTTCCTCAGGCCCCTTTGGTATGAATCCATATAATACCATCTCTTTTGATAAGGACTGAATTATTTTTGTGACCTCAAAAAGAGATGTTCCGTTTCCCACATACCCTTTGCATATGTATATTCCCAAAACACGTGTACCACCATTTCTTTTTCCTGGCATCTCTCCCTTGGATAAGTTACTGACATAAACAAATGCCATTTATATTGCACCCTCTCACTGGCAAGATATTTTTCACGATCAACCAACATAGATCAGCATGATCCCCTTTCTGTTGTTTGTTAGCCACCACCCTCTGCACCTTTTTCACTTGTCTTTCTGTGACATTTGTCACCGGCACCATTCTGTCCCCTTCCTTACAATTTTTGTGATGGGAACCTACCACAAGGATAAGTTAATGCAGCTGATCTGAATAAGATATGCTAGTGCCCATTAAGTACAACTCCCCTCACTGCCAACTCTTTTTCATGTTACGGTGAGCCATGAAATTCTATACAGTTCACCCAGAATCCTTACGTTGCACCTGCTCTTAGACTAGTGCATCTGGTTAGTGTTGGTGGCAGAGTGCCAAGAAATACCAAGGTATTTTATTTGCAGGGAAGAAGGATGCTTACAGTGCTGATGCCCATGGTCTTTCTCAAATAAAACTACATCTGCAGAGGACCAGTAGAGACAGGAAAGGGAAAGTAAGGAAGAAGATGTTGAGTCAGAATGTGTGACAGTGGGGGGTAACACCATAAGAAGGAAGAACTTGGGAGGAAGAGAGTGAAATTTTAGTAGGTGACATGGTGCAGCTGGTAACAAAGGAGGGGAGAGAAGGAAAAATTAGTGGGACAAGTGACTTGAGACAGAGGAGACAGAAGGGCAAGAGGAGAGAACAAACAGAAAGAAGGAGGAGTGAAGATAGAGCAGGAGAAAGAAGAGAGCCAAATTTGGAAAAGAAGGAAATCACATGCTATGAAGTTTAGAAAAAAGAAGGTGGACAAGCCGGGGGGGAGGGGGAAGGGGAGAATTTAAATGGACAAGCATGACAGGTGGAGTACTGCATCCAGTTCTGGGCACTGCACTGCAAGAGGGATGTGGACAACATGGAGAGGGTCCAGAGGAGGGCCACTCGCATGATCAGGGGGCAGCAGGGCAGGTCCTATGAGGAGAGACTGCGGGACCTGAACCTGTTCAGCCTCCACAAGAGAAGGCTGAGGGGGGATCTAGTGGCCTGTTACAAACTAGTCAGAGGGGACCAGCAGGCATTGGGGAAGTCCCTGGTCCCCCGAGCACTCCCAGGAGTGACCAGGAATAACGGTCACAAGCTGGCAGAGGGTAGATTTAGGCTAGATATCAGGAGGCGCTACTTCACTGTCAGGGCGGCTAGGATCTGGAACCAACTTCCAAGAGAAGTGGTGCTGGCTCCTACCCTGGGGGTCTTTAAGAGGAGGCTAGATGTACACCTTGCTGGGATTGTTTGACCCCAGTACTCTTTCCTGCCATGGCAGGGGGTCACACTTGATGATCTGCTCAGGTCCCTTCCAACTCTACAAACTATGAAACTATGGATGTTTGGTTCCCTAGGGACAACTAGCAGCAGCACATCTTGCGCCGCTGGAACTTGTCCCTGGGGAACACCCATGCCACATGCACTTTGGCGTGCAGCAAGTTGCCCTGGGTGGGGTAAGGGAGGCTGGGTCCTGGGGTCCTCCTGGGGCTGCAGCCATTGAGATTCTGCCACACAGAGCCTGGCCGTCAGCTGCAGCATCGCTCCAGGCAGCCCAGCTCCACTTTTCAGTAGTGTGTGCTGGCCAACCATGCGTTGCATCATTTTTCCTCCCCATTTTTTTTTTTACCCCTGGATAACAAAACCAATGGAAAAAAACCCAGTGCAGCACACACTTAGGCAGCATGCCCTTGCAGCACGGAGAACGTTGGATTGTGTGGTATGTAGTGCTGCAAACATGTTTGCAGCACCACATACCACATAACTGAGCTCATAGAGATGCATCCCACCTGCCCATCCCACTCCCAGATGCCACTGCCCACCTGCAGCCTCATCCCCTCTACCTGGCTGAATGCATTCTGCCTGCAGGAGTCTCAGGTCAGTCTTCTTGGAGACCCCACCCACCCGCTTCATCCAGCGCCCGCTATGGTGGGTGCAGGGCAGACAGGCCAGGGGCCTGGGCAGCAGGGACAGGTCTGGTGTTGGTGGCAACACTGGGAGCAGCAGCCAGAAGGAGCCACCACCACTGGTGCTGCCAGGAAGTGGAGTTAGGTCGCTGTGCTGCCCCAGCCCTCCTGTGCACCCGGGGTGGTGGGACCAGCCACATGCACCATGGCCTGGGATGCTCCCTAAGCCTGGGCCAGGCAGGGCCAAGGGACCCACTGTGCCCCGGATAAAATCTCTTGATGGGCTGAATCCAGCCCATGGGCCATATTTTGCTCACCCCTGTGCTAAACAGTCACACATTTTTTGGCCAATACTTTTGTCATCAATTTGTTGTCTGTGTTTAAAAGGGTTATTGGCCTTCAGTTGCCTAACAAGTCTTGCTTTCCCTGATTAAATATAATTACCACAACTTCTGTAAAATTTTCCCATCTCCCTATCTTCCATTATTTCCCAGTATGGCTCTATTACATCTGTCCCCAGCCACTGCTAACATTTTTCATAGAATTCCACCAGAAGTCTGTTTCCTCCCAGTGCCTTCCCCCTTGCAAGTTTTTAAGCAGTCCACCTCTCACACTTAACTCCTCCGATTTTTGTTTCTTTCCATCTTCTATTCCTCCCTTTATCCCCTCAAGGGATTTGTCCATCATCCACTCCCCCATCTTTTGTACAACACTTCATAAAACTTTGCTGCCACACCCATCACCTTCACACTCTCTTCTATTTGGATTCCTTTTTCAGATCCTCCTGCTTTCAGTTCCTTCCTTCTTTCTCTCAAGTTCACTGAAAAATACTTATATCATCCTTCCCCCTTCTCCACCCAACGTCTTCTGGTCAGAAAGATTCTCTCATCCATTTTCCTTTTGAACCATTCTTCAGTCCGTCGCTTTATGTCTTCCAGTTCTTTCACTCTTACTGCTTCCTTTAATAATTCCTGCTTCTTTGCCTGCATTTCTTCTAGCTCTTCCACCCTCTTCTTCACTTCTCTTCAACCAATATTGCTGAAAAATTCTCTTGTTCTTCACTTTCTATCCCAGAGCTTCTGTAATATCTCTTCAGAGTTCTCCATCTCCATCCTTTATACAGTTCCACATATTCTTGACAAGTCTTCTTATCTTGTAATAACTGCACATTTAACTTCCACATCCCTTTCTCCCTACCTTCATTTTTTCTAAACTCATTTCCATTCTCAGCATCTGATGATCACTGAAGGTTACACCTAAGATCTCCTTTCCAGTCCCGAGCCTATTTGACATTAATATAAAATCAATCCGCAATACTTGTCTCCCACTCATTTCCACCCTTGTAAACACCTTCTCACTGGCCCATACATCTTTTAAACCTCTTTCATTATATTAATCCATACTTTTGACAAGCTGTCTAGCTTTCCCTTCCCTCCATCCCCTCTTCTATCCCCCTTCTCAATAATGCAATTGAAATCCTCCACCAAAATTTGATGCCTACCTTCACCTACATGCACGTCTAATTTCTTAAATAGGGCGATCCTTCCTTCTCTTTCAGCTGGTGCATATATAGTAAAAATCTCTAATACTTCCTTTTCAAACTCCACCACTATCTGTTGCAATCTCCCTTCCAATCACTTCCACTTGCCACACTTCCACTGCCTTACCTTTGTCCAAAACTGTGACTCCAGCTGCTGTGTTTGTATCTGACCCTACCCACCATGATGGTCCCCATCTCTTTACAAAATGCTTATAATCCCTCTGCCATGGGATTACACACTCCTGAAAACATATTATATCCACTTTTACCCCACTTAGTATTGGTATAATCTTATCCCACCTCTTCCTTGATAACACACTCCTGACATTTATAGATGCAAGACACCAATGTCATAGTTTCATAGTTAGTAGGGTCGG